TCAAAAAAAAAAAAAAAATCTACGAAATGGTTGGTATTTGTGTGAAGCACTATACAGCCACTCATTTCCCTTGAGCTCCTTATAATCTAATAGGATCAATGACCAAAACTATGTTACAAAGTAAAACATGTTACATTCTAAAAAATAATCACAAATCAGATGCTGGGAGGCAAATGGGAAGTGAAATGAAAAAAATCAGCAAGTTTTTGTACTGTTTTGTTTTTAAGTAGAACCTGAGGATGTATCCACTCTTTTACACAACAAATATTTACTGGGCCCCTACTACAGACAAGGCACCATTTCGGGTTGAGGATAGCAGTGAAGAGGGAATTATTTCCCTCAACATAAGAGCTTCCATTCTAGCGGCCTACATTAAGAGATAAGGCTGAAAGAAAAAAGCCAGGCAGGTCACGGCAATAGTTCAAATATGATCTACAAAGGCTTGAATTAGGGCGGTGCCTACAGGAATGAAAAAGAAGGGGGAGGGTGGCACCTGTGGCTCAGTGAGTAGGGTGCCAGCCCCATATACCGAGGGTGGCAGGTTCCAACCTGGCCCCGGCCAAACTACAACAAAACAAAAAAGAAAAAGAAGGGTTAGACATTGGAAGCCATCTAGAGTGGAATTATTTAGGTCATTTACATTATTTTTGGAGACAATGTTTCACTGTGTTGCTCTCGGTACAGTGGCATCACAGCTCACAGCAACCTCAAACTCTTAGACTTAAGCAATTCTCTTGACTCAGTCTCCCAAGTAGCTAAGACTAGAGGCACTCGCCACATGCCCAGCATTTTTTTTTCCTGGTTACGGTAGTCATTGTTGTTTAGCTGCCTGGGCCAGGTTTCAACCCACCAGCCTTGGTGTATGTGGCCAGCGCGCTACCCACTGAGCTACAGGCACTGCTTACAATGAAGTTTTATTTTATTTATATATTTTTTTGAGACAGAGTCTCATTTTGTCACCCCAAGTAGAGTGCCATGGTACCATAGCTCACAGCAACCTCAAACTCTTGGGCTCAAACGATTCTCTTGCCTTAGCCTCCCAAGAAGCTGGGACTACAGGTGCCTGCTATAATGCCTGGCTATTTTTAGAGACAAGGTCTCGCTCTTGCTCAGGATGGTCTTGAACCTGTGAGCTGAGGCAATCCACCCACCTGCCTCCCAGAGTGCTAGGTTTACAGGCATGAACCAGTGCGCATAGTCTACAATGAAGTTTTATCAATGACTTATTATGGACTTGTACAACAAAAGAAAGGTAAATAAAGTTATTAATATCTTTAAATTTTTACAAGAGAAACTCACCTTTTTATTACATGTGATGGGCAAATTGCCAACAAACACAGTTCTTTCATTCTTTAATCTCTCTTCTTCTTGGTTGATCTGAATTTTCTTTCTTGGACTTACAACTGTGTCGTCTACATCATCAAGGACTTTCCTATCTGCAGCCTTAACACTGGACTGAGAATTTTTCCCTTTCTGCCCTCGTTTCTGGCGAATTTCTTCTTCTAAATCAGCACTTGCTAGAGCACTTTCCCTTTTTAAGGCAAAACCAAAAGAAAACAAGGGGTAGAAGTCACGGAAGGCAGGTCTAGTGTTTGACAAAGCACAGTCCTAACCTCATGATTAGAAATATTACCCAATGACCTCTGGCTTTTCCTTTTTTTGTTTTTGACACAAAGTCTACGTTGCCCTGGGTAGAGTGCCGTGATTCTCTTGCCTCAGCCTCCTTTGTAGCTGGGACTACAGGCACCTGCCACAACACTTGGCTATGGCTTTTCCTAAATGTAAACTTACCACTCACAATCATATTGAAATTTTTAAAGCAACATTATTGAGAAAGTAACCATCATCTTTAGAAAAGATCTGTAACTCAAAGAGTTAAAAAAAAGTTAAGCTCATGCCTGTGGCTCAGCGAGTAGGGCCCCAGCCTCATGTACTGAGGGTGGTGGGTTCAAACCTGGCCCCAGCCACAATGCAACAAAAAAATAGCCAGGCATTGTGGTGGGTGCCTCTAGTGCCAGGTACGCAGGAGGCTCACAAAAGGGAATCGCCAAAGCCCAAGAACTGGAAGTTGCTGTGAGCTGTGATGCCACTGCACTCTACAAAGGGTGACAAAGTGAGACTCTGTCTCTAAAAAAGAAAAAAGAAAAAAAAGTTGAGCTCAAATTTTAAACACATGCCAAAACATGTTTTAGAAGCAGCAACAAGAGTTCATCCAAATGAAAACCAGTTCATTTAAAACTCTCAGAGATTTTTTTACTTTCTATCAATGTCTAATTTCACTCTCTGCTCTAGAACTTCGAGGCACTAAGGTTTTCACTCCCCAGGAGTCTAAAAATATTAATATGCCTGCAAAATACTTACTTTGTAAAAGCAATCTGGCCAGTGGGAAAAACCAAATTCCCTATTCATAATGGTTCTATAATATTTAAAGGACTGCTTACCAAAAGTAAATTCTGAAATGGCAAATATAAAGTATCAGTGCACAAGGATAAGTTCTGGGCATCAAAATCTAAAGGGAGAAAAAAAAAATCTAAAAGGAGAACATAGTCAGATACAGTGGCAGACACCCTAGTTCCAAGGAATGGGAGGCTGAGGCAGGAGGATCACTTGAGCCCAGGAAAAAAAGGAGATTGCTCTCAGAGATCCCAGTAGCTTCACAAGAAAAGTAGTCATTTGAAATGTAACAGGGACGACTCATAGACAAAGGGTATTACCCATTAAATATGGCAAATATGGCAACAAGGTTACGATGGCCTCACTGAGCACTGGTTTGGGGTGAGCAAAAAGAAAAAGTAAAAAACCAACCACCCCCGAATGCAAATGTGTAGAGAAGAGTGTAAGAAGAGACTACTTTTTCTAAAAGCTTGACTATGAAAGGCAGGATTGAGAGAACGGCAGCAGAGACACCCATCTGTAGACAGGTTTGCTTGTTTGTTTTTATCTTTTTTAAAGATGAGAATCTTGAGTATGTTAATATGATAGACAGATCAAAGACATAGGAATGAGAAAACGGATGGATCTGATAACATAATCCCTAAAGGGCAGAAGAACGGGTATACACAGCACACAGGTGATCTGATGACATAATCCCTAAAGGGCAG